TGGTTTTTATCTGCTTAGTCATCTCAAAGATCCAAACAGAACTTCGGTGTCCACGTTTTCTCTTTAGCTGCTTCATCTGTCTTTTGGTGACATTCAGGTTTGTGGTCACTGTTGGTGAAAAATTAGTCAACAACCCTGGGTCCCCTGGAAGCTGCCCATGAAGAAGGCAGACTTCCCTCCTCCAGTGTTGTGTTATTACTCACATCTCAAAGCACAGTCTCCCTGGCATTGACCTCTTTGCTTTTCCTTCACAGTCAGTGACACCACAGTTGCTGCCATGGCCGGGAAGCCTGTACTTCACTACTTCAATGGCCGGGGCCGAATGGAATGCATCAGGTGGCTGCTGGCTGCAGCAGGGGTGGAGGTAGGTTGTGCATTATGCTTCTGGAACCAGACCGGCTGTACTCTTACTGATAAAAGAGCTTCCCTTCCCTGGTTCTCATCATAGAATGTGGACACCAAAGCCACAAAAAAAATGGTAATGAGAAGAAAATAGATTGATTTGAACAAATGAAAATCTTATTATTGTCTCTATCAAAGAACACATTCACATTAAAAGATGTTTTCAATAGAAAAAAAACAAATAATTATTTGGTTACTTGCTTATTTGAGTTGAATCAAGGTGGAAAAGGAGATATAGAAATAGAAACTTGAATATTGGCTATTAGGCCATACTACTTGATTATTACAGATTACGTTAAGATATTGTGATTTTAGGTGTGACACCTAAATACTTTTAAAAAGTGTTCTTATGCAGGGTGGTGGTGGCACCTGCTTAATCTCAATACTCAGGAGGCAGAGGCAGGCAGACCTCTGTGAGTTTGTGCCAGCCTGCTTTACAGAATGAGTTCCAGGACAGTCAGGGCTGTTTCAAGGAGAAATCCTTTCTCCAAAAACCAAAGGGGGAAAAAGAGTCCTTACATTTGGAGATTCCTGGTGAGGTGTTTGTGACAGGGACGTGTGACACCTCAGCTCTGACATTAAGGTCAGAGTCACAGAGAAGATGGGCACAGAGGGGAACAGGGTGACTTTAGCTGGTGGTTGTTGGAGCTGGTGATTGACGGATGGAGGCTCTTTGCACCTTGTGCGCAGTTTTACATCACAGATGCAGGAATTTCCATGATAAAAATGGTTTAGAGGGGACAGGAGACTGAAGTGATGGCTCAGTGTCAAAATCCAATACTGTTCTTGCAGAGGACCCACACGGGCTGCTCACAACCGCCTGTTACCCTAGCCTCAGAGGGTTCCCGTGCCTCTGGTCTCCATGGGCACTTACACTGCCTCCCTTTACTCTCCTATAATAGAAAAACATGTTAATAGTGGTAAACTATACAAGAGAAGCTTGATGGAATTAAATTAAAAATATGCACCACAAATGGGAAACCTGACACAGAAGGCAGTAACAGCCTGCCTGTCAAAACTGATCAATACTCAGTAATCAGTTTGTAGAGACCATCAAATGCCAGGAAGAGGCCTGGTCGGGAGGGTAGAGGTGGTGAATAAAACAGAGGCCCCATCCTCAGGTGGCCCCCATGTCTATGAGCTTTCAGATAAGTGTGTGAGTGGCCCAAGTGAGGTGTGGAAGCAACATTCTGAGGTTCAATGTTTTCCTTTCCAGTTGTAGAGCAGAAAGTTCTGGTAGGCTTTAGTGCTGCCCTCTAGAGGTGTCACTGGGAAAAACACTTCCCAGTTCACATCAGGGCAGCTCAGAAGTTGGCATTTCCTGAGAGGAAGTCAGGGGCACTTCCTGAGATCTTGTCCTCAGGAGGCTAGAAGGATGAAGTGGTATCCAGTGAAGGCTGCTTTTGTGTCTTCCCTCAGTGTCAAGGCAACATGTTTACCTCAGCCATGGAATCACACATCCATTCCTAAAGGAATAGGGATTCAGCTGGATCCTTTCTGAATGAAGGGTTCCATAAGAACCGAGACACACTAGTGCCAGTCCAAGAGGATTGCTTTAAATAATTCAATAATTGTGTGCCAGTGTCTTATGCCAGCTTGGCAGCTCAGGGATATGTTCTAAGCCACTGGACTGCTGATTCAGCACAGGAGGAGGGGGTGGGGCATCTGCATAGAACCCTTCCTGTTCAATGTCCCAGAGTGACTGAGAAGCCAGTGGGCAGGGGCTATTAGAGACCCTGGCTCACATTTTCCAGACTCAATGTGCCTACAGGCCGCCCATTGACCTCATCACCCTCACACCCACCAACCCCCTCACATTTCAGCCGCCCTCTGTGATGACGTCAGCACTCTGTGCAGCTCTCTGAAAGCTGTGCACGTTCTTGACACTCACATTTCATTCCATCAGTTCAGTCCGGGCGGTTATGGAGTCATCAGCAAACTGCCTCGCCAAGCAAGGTAGAAGCTGATTTTCAACCTTCATGATTGAAAAGTTTCTTTAAACTGTGAAAGGAAGAGAGTGGTTTATTACTCTAGAGGGCTGGAGAGGGGGCTGGGTGACTAAAGATTAAGCCACACGGGTTTGGATCCAGAGTGGGTTTTCATTGCGTATGTGTATCCTCACACAAAAATATATTAATACGTATACATAAAACAAATAACTATTTAAAAAATACAATAACAGCCCCACAATGTAAGCAAGTTTGATGTGGGCCTAGAGTAATAGCTTGGTTGTTTTGAGTTCTTATTGCACATACAATGTACTATGGTTCCCAGCATCCATATATGACAGTTAAAACTGTTTATTACCCCATATCCAACTGAATCATAATCTCTGGCTTCCATGATCTCTGACCACTGAGATGGGTGTTTTCACATGCATAAGACCGCTCCCCCCCAACACACACACACACATACATTCAAAATTTGTAAAACTAAATCCTGACGAAAATAAAAAAAAAAAAAAAAAAAACTATGTATTCCGGACCATACCATGTGCCATAATGAAGACACGGAAAGTTCTATTCTGTTATCACTGAAGTTAACAGGCTTTCCTGAGAGTTCAAAACCTCAACAGTCCATTTCCAAGTGCTGGTCCTCCCATGAGATCACTCTCTTCTTAGGACGTAAGCAGGGACATGGTGGGGTCAGGGAGGAGGAACACTACAAGAATGAACAGCTTTGTCATGGTCAACACCCTGTTGTTGATGGATCTAATCTGAATTTGCAAGTGGCCAGGTCCAGACACCTTCATGTCTACTCCAAGTTTTAACTTCTGCAGATATATTACCAGACACAGACCACTCAAGTTCAAAAGTCTACAACAACACAGAATCAGCTAATGAAACTGCATTTACTTTTACTTTTTCTGTCTTCAGTTTGAAGAGAAGTTTATAGAACGTCCAGAAGACTTGGAAAAGTTAAGAAAAGGTAACACCAAGTATCCATATGTCTTCAATGTGGTCCCTAGTTGAAGGTTTACCAGATGGTGATGGTGGTGGGTGGTGGGTAGTGGGTGGTGGGTAGGAATAGTCAAAAATGGCAGAGTGATAAGATGTAGGTGGCGGGTTTCCTTGAGTGCTCTGAAAATGGAAACAATGATAAGAGAGAGGAAGTTAGTTTCTGCAAACATGTGTCTGGTGACAGGTAAATAAATGTTTTCTTACTATTTCTGCATCAGACTGAGCTATTTCATTCAGGCTCACTTTCATTCACTTCTACCATCATTTTCTTCACCCATGTTGCCCAATAACTACAGAGGAACATGGCCATTGATTAAATCATGGGTGGACAAACAGGTGGGATAATTTTCTTGAGCATTTTCATTCAGGTTACTGATGAGTTGCTATCACCCCACAAATACAGCCTGGAGGAATCAGTAGCTCACTACACAGGAAACTGTCGTACACCTTATGTCTTGAAGATAACTAGATTTCCAAACTCCCTACATAGCTCTATTTGCATGGTGGCCTCTTGTATAATATTAGAGGGACCAGCCTTAATATTATACATCCCAGGGGCTCAGGAGAGAGAACTACTAACGGCGAGAACTATTTTCAGGAAATATAATCTCAGCACACCGAGTTCTATAGTCCACTTGCTTTAATTCCTCTGGCATAACATCCTTTATACACAGCTTCAGTTCTGTTCTCATGCCTAGCTCCTTTCTT